ATATATGTAGCCTTTCCTAGTCTGTCCAATAATTTGTCTATCTAACCCCATTAGCAGTAAAACACTCCTTTTATCTTGATTAGTAATAGACAATAATAGAATCATACAAATGCAGGGATGGAAGGGACTGTGAGAGGTCACCTAGTCCAGTTCCCTGCACTGAGGCAGGACCAAGTATACCTAGACCATCCCTGACAGGTGTTTGTCTAAAAACCTCCAGTGATGGGAATTCCACAACCTCCAGTGCTTAACTATCCTTATAGTGAGAAAGTTTTTCTTAATATCTAACCTAAATCCCCCTAATTGTAACAGGGTCCCCGGGGTACAACAGGGACTGTGGGATTGCTGAGCCATCTGTCCCACCAATCTAAACTTCCTCTCACACGGTAAGCTGTTGGCAAGCTACAAATCTCTCCAGGCACTGCGCTTACACAGACATCCATTGGCAGGGGCACATCCAATGAATGCTTCTCCCAGCCACTCATGAACCAGCAAAAGAGAGGCTCCAGGCAGTTCACCCCAGCTCCCCAGCCTTGCACCCCAGAATTGTACCATCTTGCCCTGGTCAGAAGTGTAAGTTCATTACCCAGTCTGCCCCTCCCGCAATGTGGAGAGGAAACACACTAGCTTTTGTAAACTGAGATGAGATTTCCCAAGCACTCAAGCAAAACCCTTTGTTTAGGTAAAATATAAAACAGATTTATTAACTACAAAAAGATAGATTTTAAGTGATTATAAGTAGTAAGCATAGAGATCAAATTCGGTTACCTAAGAAATTAAATAAATTCGCAATCTGAGTTCTATAAACTAAATCTGAATCAAGCAGTGTCTCAGCCTGGTAGATGATAGAAACAAGTCACAGATCTTCAATACACAGGCTGGAATTCTCTGCCAGCCCAGGGCTATCCTCCCCAGTTCAATGTTTTTGTCCTCTAGATCAGGGATTGGCAACCTTTGGCACGCGGCCAGCCAGGTTAAGCCCCCTGGCGGGCCAGACTGGTTTGTTTACCTGCTGCATCTGCAGATTTGGCTGATCGCGGCTCCCACTGGCCGCAGTTTGCCGCTCCAGGCCAATGGGATCTGCGGGAAGTGGCAGCCAGCACATCCCTCGCCCCGCGCCGCTTCCTGCAGCCCCCATTGGCCCATGGGAGCCGTGATCGGCCAAACCTATGGACACAATAGGTAAACAAACTGGCCCGGCCCACCAGGGGGCTTAACTTGGCGTGCAACGTGCCAGAAGTTGCCAATCCCTGCTCTAGATGTTTCTTCCAGGTGTTGAGTTGTGGAGGGAGTGAAGCCAAGTGATGATGTCACTTCCCCTCTTTATAGTTTCTTTCAGCTTTCTGTAAAGATCTTTTGTTATGACATGGGTCAAGCAGTCTCCATTGTCTACATGCCCTCTCTGAGAAGCATCCATTGTATACAGTTCCTGGGATAGTGGATTCTCTTTAATTGGCCATCAGCATGTCCGGCTACTCCATTGTTGTACCTGAAAGGCTGGTTGTGGGTGTTCCCAACCACACAACATATTTCAGTAATGCACACATAGCAAAACATCATAACTCCCCACACATTGATAACACACACAATCCAACAGGATATTAATGTTAAATAGATCAAGGCTTTTAAAATGATATCTCCCAAGGCATACTTTGTACAAAACATATCATAATTATATGACACTGGTGAATATGGGAGTTCCAGGATACTGCTTTGAGGTACAGAGTGCCATCCCCTAGTTGCAGATTGTTCCTCTTACTTCTTGTCCTACCTTCAGTGGACATGAAGAACAACTGGCCACTGTCCTCTTTATAACAGCCATTAACATAGTTGAAGACGTATCAGGTCCCCCATAGTTTTCTTTTCTCAAGACTAAACATGCCTGGTTTTTTTTTAAACTTTTCCTCATTTGTCTGGTTTTCTACACCTTTTATCATTTTTGTAGCTTTCCGTTGGATCCTCTCCAATTTGTTCACATCTTTCTTAAAATGTAGCACCCAGAACTGGACACAGTACTTTATATAAGTCCTCATCAGTGATGTGTAGAGCAGGACAATTACCTCCCATGTCTTACATACATCCCAGAATGTTAGCCTTTTTCACAACTGCATCACATTGTTATTCAATTTGTGATCCACTATAATCACCAGATCCTTTTTAGCAGTATTACCACCTCACCAGTTGTTTCCCATTTTATAGTTGTGCATTTGATTTTTTCTTCCTAAGGGAAGTACTTTGCACTTACCTTTATTGAGTATCATCTTGTTCATTTCAGACCAACTCTCTAATTTGTCAAGGTCATTTTGAATTCTAACCCTGTACTCTAAAGTGCTTGCATACCTTCCCAGCTTGGTGTCATCTTCAAATTTTATAAGCATACTCTCCACCCCATTATTCAAGTCATTAATGAAAATATTGACTAATATTGGATACAGGATGGACCCTTGCAGGACTCCATTAGATTCTTCCCTTCCAGACTGACAGCAAACCCTTTATAACTACTATTTGGGTATGGTCTTCAACCAGTTGTGCACCCACCTTATAGTAATTTCATCTAGATCACATTTCCGTAGTTTGCTTAAGAGAATGTCATGTGGGATTGTGTCAAAAGCCTTACTAAAATCAAGATATATCACAACTACTGCTTCCCCCTATTCACTAGGCCAGTAATCCTGTCAAAGAAGGAAATTAGGTTGGTTTGGCATTATTTGTTCTTGGCAAATCCATGTTGGCTCTTACTTATTACCCTATTTTCCTCTAGGTGCTTACAAGTACAAAATAATTTGCTCCAGTATCTTTCCAGGTATCAAAGTTAGGCTGACTGCTCTATAATTCGCTGGGTCCAGTTCGTTCCCCTTTTTAAACACAGGTACTATGTTTGCCATTCTCCAGCCTTCTGGGCAGGGCTGGATTTCCAATTAGGCACAGTAGGCAAATGCCTATGGGTGCCGGCATTCTAGGGGTGCCTAAAAGTTAAAAGTGGGTTAAAAGTTTAATTTTTTACGAAAAATATGAAGGTCAGCTGTAGGTGGGGAAGGGGTGTGTGCTGAAGATGCTGAGCCTAAGAGCACATAAGGTGTAAATCTGGCCCCACTTCTGGGACCTCGCCCATCCTCCAAGAGTTCTTGAAGATAATTGCTAACAGTTCCAAGATTCCTTTAGCTAGTTCCTAAAGTACCCTAAGTGAATTTCATCAGGCCCTGATTACTTGAATACATCTAACTGTTCTTTAACCTGTTCTTTCCCTATTTTGGCTTGTGTTCTTCAGAATCCAAACCGCCCCAGCTCGTCTCTGAACAATGCAAACACACATGCCAAGTCTGGGACTCCGGTGTATTTGGCACCCACTGCCACGGTTCCAGTGCTGACCCAGACTTCTCTGCTGTGTCTTGGCTGTCCCTAGCATCTGGTCCTCTGATCAACCCCTCAGCTGTGGGATCACAGACTCCAAGGCCAGAAAGGACCATTGTGGTCATCAAGTCTGACCTCCGGTATAACCCAGTCCATAGAACTTTCCCCCAAAATATTTCTGTTTGAACTACAGTATAGCTCTTTAAAAAAAATATAATATTGATTTTAAAATTGTCAGGGATAGAGAATCCACCATAATCCTTGGTAAATCATTCCAATGGTTAATTACCATCACTGTTAAAAAAATCTGAATGCGTCTAGCTTCACTTCCAGACACTAGATCTTGTTATACTTTTGTCTGCTAGACTGAAGGGCCCATTATCAAATTTGTTCCCATGTAGGTACTTACAGACTGTGATCAAGTCACCCCTTAACCTTCTTTTTGTTAAACTAAAAATAGATTGAGTCCCTTGAGTCTGTCCCTATAGAGCAGTGGTGGGCATGGTCCCTATGGAGCTGTGGTTTTCTAGTTCTTTAATCATTCTCGTCTCTGAACCCTCTCAACATCCTTATTGAACTGTTGACACCCGAACTAGACAGCATTCCAGCAGCGGTTGCACCAGGTCCACATACAGCGGTAAAATAACCTCTCTACTCCTACTCAAGGTTTTCCTGTTACATCCAATGATTACAAGTTTGTGACAATTCTGCTTTTTGTTCTCCCTCTACAGCTGCAATTACGGAGCTGTGCCACCCAACCACACAGGACACCTCTACCCCACCCCTCTCAGTCATCAATCTGGGTTCTTCTTCCTTTTGTGGCTCCTGATTCTCAAGTACAGGATGGTGCAGGCTCAACGCAGCCACATGCTCAGGCCCAGCCCAGAGCTGACTCTTGTCCCGCTGTATCCCTGCAGCAGCAGCAGTGGCAACCACCTGGTGTTCACACCCCTGCATCCTTCTCCCTCTTCTGCTCTGGAGACCTTGCCACAGGAAGTTGGGTAAGAATTTTCTGATATCTCTTTGCCCAATTCCTGTTTGCTTGTCCCCCTACCAATCAGAGCTTCAGAGGATGAACTAGTTTTGGTGAAGGGGAATTCACAGCCCCTTAATTTAATTTCACACTTCTATGACTGGTAAGAGGACACTCCTTCCTTCAAACTCCTGCTTAATTATGTGACAGATTGTGGTCATCAAGTCTGACCTCCGGTATAACCCAGTTCCATAGAACTTTCCCCAAAATATTTCTGTTTGAACTACAGTATAGCTCTTTAAAAAAAATATAATACTGATTTTAAAATTGTCAGGGATAGAGAATCCACCATAATCCTTGGTAAATCATTCCAATGGTTAATTACCATCACTGTTAAAAAAATCTGAATGCGTCTAGCTTCACTTCCAGACACTAGATCAAAGGCAGCAATTATTGCAAAACTTTGAAGATGACTTCAAAGGCTCACTGAAACACTCAGCCAAACCCTTCTTCCCCAAGGGAAAAATTAATATGTAAATCAGGGAGCATCCCTCACCAAAAAGGAATAAGCTCTAGGGAAAGGCAGCTTTGAAGATTTCTGAAGACTTGCTGGGCATCAAAGGGGAAGTTTCAACCCCCAAGACACATTTTCAGAAAGCAATGAAGAAACAGAAAATTCAAAAACATCACGGGCACATTTTTTATTATTAATTCATCAAACATTTTTTCCAGGTTTGGGGGCTGGTTGCAGGGGCGGGTAGACACTGAATTTGCTGGAGTAAAGTGCGAGAGCCCATTTGGGTATGCTGACGCACTCTGGGATGAGGCGGAAGAGGCAGGCCAGCCTTGGCATCAGCGTCATGAGCACATTGCGCACCGATATGTAGTTGTAGATGGGTCTCCCGTCCACATCACGGAAGCGGTAGCGGCGGGCGAGGTCTGGGGTGAGCAGCACCTTGCCGCTGTGGCACATGACGGCGGGATCAGATGCCAGGCCCACCACGCACTTGCCGCACACTTCGGGGCTCTCTGAATTACCAATCACCTTCTGCAGCAGCACACCCCACGGTCCCGAGCCCGCGGCCTCCTTAAGCACAGCCTCGGTGCGGACGACGCCGGGCCACAGCGTCACGCAGGCCACTCCGTAGGGGCGCAGCTCGACAGCGCAGTCGGCGGCCAGACGGTCGCAGGCGGCCTTGCCCACGCCATAGGGCACATTGAAGATGTAGCGCAGGCCGCCAGGCGAAGAGATGTTGACGATGAGGCCGCGCCCGGCCGGCACCATGAGGCGGGCGGTGTAGCGGGCGCAGAGGTAGTGGCCGCGCAGGCCCGTGTCGTTGATCTGGTCCCAGAGGGCGGCTGGGCTCTCCCAGAAGGGCAGCCCCTGCTGGTCAGCGATGGCGCCCACCCCGGAGAAGGCGTTGTTCACCAGCACGTCCAGCCGCCCGCCCTCCGCCTGCTGCAGCCGCTCGAACAGCGCCGCCACCTCCTCCTCCCGCGACGAGTCGCACACCACCGGCACGCAGCGCCCGCCCCGGGCCGACACCTCCGCCGCCGCCCGGGCCAGCGGCTCCCGCTGCCGGCCCGTGATGTACACGGTGGCGCCCGCCTCCGACAGCTGCAGCGCGATACCCTTCCCTATGCCCCGCGAGGCGCCGGTCACCAGGCACACGCGGCCCGCCAGCCGCCCGCCGCCGGACATGCCGCTGCCGGCGTGGGAGGGCACTGCCCAGCGTCGGCCGAGAGGCGGTGCGGCTGCCCTACGAGCCGGGGAGAGCCGCGGGGCTGCAGCCCGGCAAAATCCCGGCCCCGCCTCTTCCTCTCCCGCGATGCAGCCAGGGGGACACGCTGGAAGTTTCCTGCCGGGACGAGCCTCCCCCACCTCCTGCAGCTAGACGCCGCCCAGCTCCGCTTGCACAAGGGGAGCGGCCCCTGCGCTGGAGACAACTGCTTGGCTCAGGCTAGGCCCGTTCCCCCAGGCGCCCGAGCGGCGGGGGATGCTGGGATCACGCCTCTCCACCAGCACGGTCAGCCCTCTGCGACCTCCCCTTGTCTCTGCATGGGGACGTGACAATATGGATCCAAGTCAGAGTCCAGCCACCCAGAGCACTTTGCCGGAGCACTGCCCCTCCCGTCGGCACGCCGCCAGCTGCGCCCTCACACCAAGAATGACTACACTAGACCCTGAAATACTTGCATTTTCGCTCGATAGCCAGGACTGGAACCCCTCCAACACGTGTTGTGAAGGGAGTGACAGTTTTGAGTTACAGCTGTACGACAATTTTACTACAGCTTCTTTGAAAAGTTTTTCTGCAACATTGATTCATGTGATCACGCTGTAGAGGAAACAGAAGCAGCAGTTCCACTAAGGTCAACTGTCTGAAATGGGTCATTTTGATTATCACTTTAAAAGTTTTTTCCCCCTGCTGATAACAGCTCCTCTTAATTAATTAGCCTCTTACAGTTGGTATGGCAGCTTCCACCTTTTCATGTTCTCTGTAATATATAAAATCTTCTTACTATATGTTCCATTCTGTGCATCCGATGAAGTGGGCTGTAGCCCACAAACGCTTATACTCAAATAAATTGGTTAGTCTCTAAGGTGCCACAAGTACTCCTGTTCTTTTTGCGGATACAGACTAACATAGCTGCTACTGTGAAACCTGTCATTATACATTTAGTGCATGACCATCACCACATGGCACAACTCCTCACCTCTAAGACAACATTATGGATATAGGAGAACAAGAATTTTGCAACTGTTAAGGCAGTTATCAATAAAACAGCTACACTAGCCCAGGGGTCAGCAACCTTTCAGAAGTGGTGTGCCGAGTCTTCATTCATTCACTCTAATTTAAGGTTTTGCGTGCCAGGAATACATTTTAACGTTTTTAGAAGGTCTCTTTCTATAAGATATAACTAAACTATTGTTGTATGTAAAGTAAATAAGGTTTTTAAAATATTTAAGAAGCTTCATTTAAAATTAAATTAAAATGCAGAGCCCCCCGGCCTAGTGGCCACGACCCAGGCAGTGTGAGGGCCACTGAAAATCAGGTCACCTGCCGCCTTTGGCACACGTGCCATAGGTCGTCTACCCCTGCACTAGCCCCATAGGGTTTCTCCTATACAGAAAAGGTGGTATACTAGAATAGATACTAATAAAAACTGGTGGAAGAGTAAATAAGACCCTTGGTGATCTATACAGCAGTGACACATTACAGTTACAACCTTGTGGTACTGTTGCCACTCAGAAGCAAGTAAACATAATCTTCCATACGCCAGTAAACTGACCGATTCCCCCCTTTATTATGCTACATGGCTAACATAATGCCTGACCTTATATTCCTACAGAGTATAGAGTACACAACCATGAAGCCCATAAATATTTATTAAAAATTAGCATGACAAACTTTTTTTGGCAAGGTATAATTAAAAATTCTGAAAATATTAACGCATTATAAATACAGTGATTGAAAAGCTGCCTAAATGCATTTAAAGTTTCACATCCACTGAGTTCCAGAGAAAAGTAGCAAATAGGCAATCTGTTAAGGAATCCGTTCTGCTGTGAACACTTGAGAAGCCTGGCAGCGAGCCTTAAAAAGAAAATTAGATGCGTTCAGAGAACAAAAATATCACTCAGAATATACCTTATGTAATTGTGAGCATTAAGTAATTTCAAAATAGTATTATAAATTAGTTATAATTTTTTTTAAAAAGTATTAAATAACTTTAACCTAGAGTTATAGTTACCTATTTCCTTCCATTATAAACCTTGTTTGCAGTTGCTTATAACGTTACCAAACTTTAGACATTCATGCTGAAGTTTTTCCATGCTGGGTGTCTACCTTAAACTAAGGTTTAAATTTCAGCTGAAAAAATGAGATTAGTGAAGTAGTTATTTTGCCCATATTACAAAATTCATATAACCATTTTGTTGAGAAGCTCTAGCACCTCCATGTGGAGGGGGGTACCTGGTACACCAACAATGTGTCTTTTGTTAGGGATCAAAAAGTTCACTCCAAATTTAGCCAAATTATAAACCTCTGAAAAATTTGTTTGCAAGTGCTCAGCAGAGACCTATTAGAGTTCTAAATACATGGAGCACTGCATCATTAATGGTCTGGATGATGGGATGGATTGCACCCTCAGCAAGTTTGCGGATGACACTAAGCTGGGAGGAGAGGTGGATATGTTGGAGGGTATAGATAGGGTCCAGAGGGACCTACACAAATTGGAGGATTGGGCCAAAAGAAATCTGATGAGGTTCAACAAGGACAGGTGCAGAGTCCTTCATTTAGGATGGAAGAATCCCAGGCACTGCTGCAGGCTGGGGACTGACTGGCTAAGCAGCAGTTCTGCAGAAAAGGACCTGGGGATTACAGTGGATGAGAAGCTGGATATGAGTCAACAGTGTGCTCGCGTTGCCAAGAAGGATAACGGCATATTGGACTGCATTAGTAAGAGCCTTGCCAGCAGATCTACGGAAGTGATAATTCCCCTCTATTTGGCACTCGTGAGGCCACATATGGAGTACTGCATCCAGTTTTGGGCCCCCCACTAGAGAAAGGATGTGGACAAATTGGAGAGAGTCCAGCAGAGGGCAACAAAAATGATTAGGGGGCTGGGGCACATGATTTATGAGGAGAGGCTGAGGGAACTGGGCTTATTTAGTTTGCAGAAGAGAAGCGTGAGGGGGAATTTGATAGCAACCTTCAACTACCTGAAAGGGGGTTCCAAACAGGATGGAGTTAGGCTGTTCTCAGTGGTGGCAGATGACAGAAGAAGCAGCAATGGTCTCAAGTTGCAGTGGGGGAGGTCTAGGTTGGATATTAGGAAAAACTATTTCACTAGGAGAATGGTGAAGCATTGGAATGGGTTACCTAGGGAGGTGGTGGAATCTCCAACCTTAGAGATTTTTAAGGCCTGGCTTGACAAAGCCCTGGCTGGGATGATTTAGTTGGTGTTGGTCCTGCTTTGAGCAGGGAGTTGGACTAGATGATCTCCTGAGGTCTCTTCCAACCCTGATATTCTAGGATTCTATGATCTGTACTGATCATGCTTCAGCCCACGTCTGCATGGATCGAACAGAACTTTCCCTGTAATTGCTCCTTCAACACTTCTGAGAACTGCTGTGGCTGGCAACAGAACTGAGCAGAGAGACAGTCTCTCCTAAGCTATCAATATTGCCACTGTTGGGCAGGATGGATGAGAAAGCAATCTGACTGGAATGCAGAGGGGCAGGGGAATGGTAGGACCTAAAGAGTGAAGAACAGCAGAGGGGGAGGGGGAAAGGGACAGACAGAGATACAGGGGAAAAACAGTCTACTCCAGGGATCGGCAACCTTTAGCATGCAGCCCATCAGGGAAATTCGCTGGTGGGCTGAGCTGGTTATCTGCAGTGTCTGCAGGTTCGGCCGATCGCAGCTCCCACTGGCCGCCATTCACCACTCCAGGCCAATGGGGGTTGCAGGAAATGGCGACCAGCACATACCTCAACCCACGCCACTTCTCGCAGCCCCCATTGGCCTGGAACGGCGAACAGCAGCCAGTGGGAGCTGCGATCAGCCAAACCTGCGGATGCTGCAGGTAAGCAAACCGGCCAGGCCCGCCAATGGATTTCCCTGACGGGCCGCATGTCGAAGACTGCCGATCCCTGGTCTATTCTAACCACTGAGTACACTCCCCTCAAGAACCAGGAAGTGAACCTAGGAGTCATGAGACTTTCTCTGCTGTCAGCCAATACCAGTGTGAATCATGCTGGTGAGGTGTGTGTCATCCCCCACTGGTTTACACATAAAACAATAACCTATTGCTACAGCCTTAATCTTAGTGCAGATAAGATCTAATTAAATTCTCTTAACAGTTTAAATTGGGTATGCTAGTCTTTGTTTCTGAGAAGCACTCAGTATTCTTTTGGAGAAAATGCTGTACACAGGTAAAGTATTATGTACATACACATAAAGCTGCAAGCTTCACAAAACTGAGTTAGGAAACTGTTTTTAAGAATGGTAAAATTAGTATATATATTTTGGTCTTGAATATTCCTTTAATTAGAATTACAAGAACTTGAACCACATGAGTACAAGAATGTGTACTAAAGTGTTTTAAAGATCTTACTTTTATTAGTGAAGAATAAACAGAGGAGAGTTTCGTTTTGTGGTGTTTTTGCTGGAGTGTGGGACGTGGAAACGAAAAAAGATCACAACACACCCAGATAGCCAGAGTGCTTATGCACAATTGATAAAGACAAACGGGTAATTCTATTACGTTTCTGTGTACAGAGTTAAGAGTTGGTATGGCAACCCCCATTTTTTCATATTCTCTGTATATATTCTCTGTGTAGTGTGTGTGTATACATATATACACGCACGCACGCGATATAGATAGATATCTTGTATCTTATATCTGTCTGTCTCTCTCTTTCCTACTGTATTTTCCACTGCATGCATCTGATGAAGTGGGCTTTAGCCCATGAAATCTTATGCTCAAATAAATTGGTTAGTCTCTAAGGTGCCACAAGTACTCCTCGTTCTTTCTGCTGATACAGACTAACAGGGCTACCACTCAGAAACTTTTCTGGAATACTTACAACTTTCTCCTCTGGTGAGAGCTCGCCATCTATAGCCACTATTTGGTACTGCTTATCTTTTAAGCTACCCACAAATTTCCGAAGTAGTTTGAGACTGGTATCATCACTGCTTTGTTTTAGCAGTTTCTGCATTTCATGCGATGGACATCCTGGGTCAAATATTAGTAAACATAATGTTCTATTCTTCCTCTCTTCTATTCCAACAATAGTACGGCTATGCCCTAATTTCAAAACAAAATAATGACAGTAAAATCTCGCATCAGGGACTAGGACTTATTTTATCACTTTATTGCTACAAGTCCTTTGGCCAAGTAAAGAATGAGAATATTTTATTTAACAAGCTATTTGCCAATGAAAAGTAGATATCAACCAGTTCAAACCCCAAATCTGGCCTTCAGTGGACTGTAACAATTTTAATCTGATGGGAATCTTATTTTATATATTTCTCTTTTCTTATAACAAATAAGATTAACAGGAAATAAATTGGAAAACTTCCTGCATATAGGGATGAAGGAGGCAGAGAATATGAAATGTCATTTGAAATAATACCATGTTATACAAATGTAATAAAATTCAGTACAAGAGATCAAGAAACTAGTACAGATTATGCTGACCTTGGTGCTGCATGTAGATAGGTGGTTTGGGGGTACACACAACCTTTGTACTACCTTCTCTGTTTGAAGAATAATAGCTCAAAACCCATTCAAATAAACGAGGGTGGGTACCCAAGGGGCCAGTTGACTTGTGAAAGTCAATGATTTGACACCTACAGGAGATTGAAGATGAAAAGTCAGAGTATTATAGTAAGTCCAGGTTTTTTGTCCGTTTGAAAATAATGGTTTGTAGTGCCTAGTCTTTATTTTGTAATGTCAGATACACTTATCACTGCCTTTACAAAAATAGCACTAGCAGTAGTTTCATAATTGTGTGGAACCAGAGACACAGACCCTGCTCGTCTGGAATGGCCTGATGACAGTACAGCCAGATACCATCATATTATGGTTAACAAAAAAAATTAAAACTAGAGCAAAAGCTATACTTAAGAAGCAATGTGATTTCTATTGCCCAAAACCAGAAAAAAAAATTATCCCTTTGGTTACAAGTGTTCCATTCTTGGTCTCAGCTGAAAGATAATTTGGGGAGTTTATGAAAATCCTTTCACCTTCACCCTGAGTTATACAAAGTGGCAGGACTACATCACACTTTAAGTTTGAGCAGTAAATTGAGAGACATGCAAATCAATAGCTGCACCTCAAACTTTTTTCGTAAGACTAGACCTCAATTAGGAAGTATGGCTGTGAAATTTTTATTGAATGTGAAGCTTTAATTAAAGTGACTTTTATGCATAGGCAGTACAGAATTTTACTAAGGCCTTGTCTACCCTGCCACTTAAGTCAACATAAGTTATGCTGCTCAGGGGTATAAAAAACATACACCCCTGAGCGACGTAACTCACACAGACTTAATGCAGCGTCTACACTGTGCTATGTCGGCAGAAGAAGCTCTCATGTCAACATAGCTTCCATCTCTCATTGAGGTGGATTAACTGCATTGATGGGAGAGTGCTCTCCCATCGACTTATTGTATCTTCCCCAGACCGCTAAATCGACACCGCTGCATTGACAGTGGTGCCGATTTAGTGCCGTAGTGAAGACATGCCCTAAGTTTTAAACTGAATAACTGCCTGCAGATCTATGCAGATTCACAAATTGTGTGGTGCTTTAACTAAGGGCTTGTTTACACTACAAAATTAGGTCAACTTAACTTAGGTCACCCTACAGCCACCTCAGTAATTCAATCATCCGTTGGTGTCCATACTACCCTCCTTCTGCTGGTGAAGCACATCCTCATCAGGAGCACTTGCACCAACTGAATTGGGGCACTGATAGCCAAGTGAGGGGCACTGACAGCCTCAAGGGGCTCACACCTTGAGCACCCATGCACCTCAGGCTGACAGCCCCAGCTATGAGCTTAGTACTGGGCTCAATTTCACAGCCATAAAATTGACACTCTCACCAATTTCACGCTGTTATTGTCTCTGCTCTACAGGGCTCTCAGCTTGGACAGCCTGGTTTCCAGCTGGGAGCTGTGCAAGGAGCTTGGGCTCTCAGTGCAGGTAAGCTGGGCTCACAGCTCTAGCTGTGAAACTGACAAATGTAAGCCCTCCACTGGGCTCAATTTCACAGCATGGAGCCTACCAACCATGAAATTGACATTCTTGGCAATTTCACAGCTACAGCTGTGAACCCCAACAGCCACTGTAAGTAACACAGTGTCTACAGGGACACTGTGTAGTCCTAACTACACCCACAGAAGGGCTACGCCTCTCGTGGAGGTGGGGTTATTATGTCGGTGTAGTAGGGCACTTACATCGGCAGGAGCAAGGCTGTAGTGTGTACGCTGACATAATTAGGTCAACTTAAGCTGCTTTATGTCACCCTTACTCTGTAGTGTAGACCAAGCTTCAGTCTTATGTGTGTTTAAAGATCAGTCAAGTTTAAAGCCACGAAGTTGCATAAGTTATACAGCTCCAAAAGCAGAGTGCCTGGTTCTCATTCTCACGAAAAGGAATTTAAAATAAGAAACCAACAGCCTAAATTGGTTTGGGTGTGCTGATATACAAAACATAGCATATGTATAGGCTAAGAATTTTGGCGCCTCGAACACCTTCAAAGTTGATGTGAAGAGAAGAGACATAACTATGGTCAATTATTAGCGCTATAATTATAAAATTAGACAAACAGTATAGTGTATTATCATGTGTTACTGCTCAATATGTTTAGTTTGGAACCGAAAACATCCCTTATTCTTAAGAGATTATTGAAAATCTTCACGTACTTTAATCTGAGACTGGTTAACAGAGAATAAATTTCACATGCTCCTATCCATGCCTTGGTACCATGTAATCTATTGCAGAAGTGAGATGCTCCTTGAGGATCAAAACCTTCTTTCCAAGCATCTTCAATCATGGACTGAATTTTTGGAATACAAGGAATTAAAGTAATATCTGAAATAAAAAAGCAACTTTTATGTTGCTGATACCATCAACTGAAGCAGTCTCTTACTGCTGAAAGTGTAACTAAGTCTTAATCAGTGTTTCATTTATAAAAACAGGAATGTCAGACAAAAGCTTTAATGTATTACAAAAATATAGTTCTATTTCTAGCTCTCAACTCTAAAATATTAATTTCAGTTGTGTCTCCTTCAGTATCCAGTCATCTCGTCTCAAATTTGTTCCTGAAAATTTGTAGAATACCTGCTAACAATAAAGAAAGTATTTCATAGATATCACTAACCCATTAAGTATCACAAAGTTTACACTCCCTGATTTCTAATTAATCAGAATGTTGTATACAGAAGTTAACATTCAAAATGGTAACTCACTGTACATACCTCTCAAACAGTCATTATACATGCCATTCCGCAATAACGAAGAAAGCAGCATTTGAAAGTTCCTGTAGCCACAACCCCAACCTCTGTCTCCCAAAGATGAGTGGAAGTGATCCACTCCTGTAGAAAGCCATACACGCCTTACATCTTTGATTTCATTTTGATAGTACCTGCACAGTGCTTCAATGACTCCTAAAAGATAAAATATAAATTTTAAGACTACACAATGCATAAGTTAATATTCTGTAGGGGCAGATTCTCTCTATCTAGGAGCAGGTTGAGAAATAAAAGAGACAACACAGGTCAGAACTGATGAATGAGCGTATAGCAGTAAGTTAAACCATGAACTTAGGTCATGTACAGACATTAGACAATCTGGCCATTTCATTTCTCTCCCACATACATCGTAACTTGATGACTCAATATATTTCTGATATAGTCTAAAAATCCACCTGAGCTTTTCTGTTGCAGCCACATCAAGTGCCTTTTCTAAGATCAATATAGCATCACTGCCTGAAAATATATACATATGCTGTTAATTGGTCTATTGTGAACTACAGAAGTGATACAAGGGATGTGACTAATTACCACTAATTGTGTGACAAGTAATTCCACAGACAATGCTACCACTATATCCCCATTATGTTATCCCCTTTCAACCATGAACACCCTTATGGATACTATCAGTAATCCTCTCACACTTCTTTCAGACCCTCACTTTTTAAGGCAGTCCTTGAACAATTACTCACGAAGCAACATTCCCCAAAGTAATGTCCAAGAAAACAGTGGCATAGAACTCAAACTTTCAAAAACTAGAAAAACCACTCATTGTGGTGTGTCAAGTCTTTTCTTTCTGCATAACAATAATATTCTTGGAAGTAGCTTTGCATTCATCGGTGCATTTAAGTGCCCAAAGGCCATACACAGACTAATTTGTTGTTCTGCCATAAACATTACCCTTAAAGTTTAAAAAGCATTGCAGTTCACCTTTAAGATCTCAAATCTTTTTAAGTACCAATTTGTTAATTCCAATTAATACAGGTGGAATTAAAAGCTAAATTTTAACTATCAAGGCCTGAATTGAAGTTTCTGTAAGCACTAGTTGCTAACTATAGCTAAGGTAACAAAACCTTGAACTCTGGTTTTGGCCGGCAAATAAAATGAATGGATTTTCAATTCCTTTTTTTTTAAAAAGGCATTGGTAATTTTTAGTACACTTAACACATTGGAAGTAGTTTGGTATCTAAACTTTAGCATACTAAATGCTATCTGAATTATGTACTAAGTAAATGTCTACCACTGAAGAATCTTTTCCTGGGATCTCCAAGTAGGAAGAGGGCTGTATTTAACTAGGAACAGTTTGTATTGAAGTTGTCACCAAAAGAATCATTGCTAGAAAACAAAAGCGGACAGTATGATAAACTTTCAGTGGCATAAAATGCAGGGAAGTGTTAACGAAAAAAATATAGCTGAGTATAAAATAAGCCATTCTGGTACCATACTGCTGTCTTATTGCTATCATTGGTGCATACTATATCCGTGCTACTGAGCAAGCAGTCCACAGTCTTCAGGAGAAAGTGAATGTTACTGGTGACGGATGGTTAAATAAAGAACCTTATGGAATTAGCTGAACACAAACAGAAATGTAAGTGACTCAACTGCAAAAAAAGACCTGAAAATGTAGGGGAAACTCTATTAGATCATGTGTAATACAGACAAGCATGCAGAGGGTCAAATGGACAGATCAGACAGTTAGATTCCTAATTTTTAGGGCCATCGATAGCAGAAAGGTGGGAATAAACAAGTAGTCAGGCGTATGCTGGGCTCTACTACATTAATAGATAATACAAGTATTTAGGGATATCTCACAGCCCTGAATTAAGACTAAACCCCTCTCTAAACTATCTAGCTCAGGTTCTCAACCTGCAGCTCAACCAGCACAGAGCTGCGACCCACGTGACATCCTCAGGGTCATACAGGTACTATCAGATGCGGTCCACAATGGTAAATAGGTTGAGAGCCACCGATCTAACTAAATACATGGTACAGAAACTGAGGTGAGCTACACAGTAACAACTAGACAGAGTGAGAAGACCAACTACATGAGTAATAACAAGAACATATTTGACACAACAGCATTCATAGCAATGCCATCATGATGACTTTTGGTCTCTATCAATCTGAGCTGAAAAGATGAAAGGATCCATGCTCCTCCAGCAACACAGGTTAAATACTGACCTGAGGTCTTTGTTTTCCCATCATCTACACCAAAAGCCAAAGATTCCATCATGTCAGCTTTTCTCTTATGATATTCAGAAGGCGGCATCCTTCCCCTAGCTACTTCCCTTTCCATGTTCTTTAGTGACTGCTGCTTGTAGCCTCCAGAACTATCCAAGCCATATTGTCTCTGTTGAGCACAAAATAAGAATAATTTTAATGTGTTTCTTCCTGCTGATTATCATTGTGAATGAAAAACAATGCAATTAACAGGTATTGTTGTGAACAAATTAACAATGATTTGGAAATGCTCTAAACGTGGAACTGATTCTGCCATGTGGCATTTTGTGCTCTACTGCAGCTATGTCAAGCTAGAACTGCCAACAGACTGCCACAAAGCGCCCTTCTGAGGAAAGTGTTTGGTGACTATTGGTTTCTAGCATACAAAAATAAATTGCAACATATGAACATAATTACTGAAATTTTTATGATGATTTAAATTAATAAAGCCTACCATTTTAATGAGTTTTCACTGTATGTGGACCTCTCAAACTCCCATTCTCAAAGGAATTAATTTTACATTCATACTTTATTATGTGACAGCTACTATACCCAGACATGACATAGCTACTTAATGCAAATAAATAAAATTAAACAATTATACTTAACATGTATCTAGTGCTTTGCATAATCAAAGCACTGTATAGACATTTGACTAATTAATTTTCAAAACATCCTTGGGAGATGATTCACATTTCACAGTTGGGTAAAATGAGACAAAAGTGAAATGACCTGCCCAAAGGCCACACACCAAGTCAGTAGCCAGGCCAAATTTAGAACCCAGTACCTACTGACTCCCAAACTGTGCCCTTTTCTCCAAGACCACACTACCTTCCCACAAAAGCAGCCCTGAGTCTCATCATGACACGCAAATTAGAGACTTCCTAACAAAGCATTTTCACCAGCTTATTGTTTTGTAGTGAGATTCTGACAAAGGTCACTCAGCCAATCAAAACAGTTGAGTTTTTTCTTTTTATATACTCAAATTTCATTGGTCAAAAATTTGTTAACAGTGATGTGGTAATGACTGAAGCAATGAAGTATGACCTGCTGATAGAGCTGCTTGACTAGAATTTCTTGAGTTAGATACACAGTAGCTATGTTCAGCCTACTCCAAGCCAGAGCTTGACTGCTTTTTATTATATCACTAGCCACGTATTAGAATTTATTCTTACACTATAGATAAGAAAAGCATGACTTTCTCTTCATATGGTACAAAATACATTGCACCTATAGTACATCACATCTGGGACACTACCAAATTTAATCATTTCAGGTTCAGCTCTGCCTGCATAATATTTAATTACAGAGATATATAACTATGAAAAGACAGACAATTTTATCACTCATGGAGAAGGGCTCCAAGTCCCACCTTACTCAAATTAATCTGAGTTATAATATGAAGTTATTAAAATAATATAAGTTTCTATTATAGTTGTTCAGTTTGTTATTACTAAATTGCTAGCAAATTGTGTCAGGAAATTACCAGGCAAAAAATGTGAAAAATAGCAAGATACAAATAAAGAGTTATGTGAGAAACTAAACTGAGAATGCACAAACACAGTTCCAAGATACTCAGTTTGTGGTTATCTTTGAAAACTCGTGGCGAACGGGGGAAGTCCCGGATGACTGGAAAAAGGCTAATGTAGTGCCAATCTTTAAAAAAGGGAAGAAGGAGGATCCTGGGAACTACAGGCCAGTCAGCCTCACCTCAGTCCCTGGAAAAATCATGGAGCAGGTCCTCAAAGAATCAATCCTGAAGCACTTGCATGAGAGGAAAGTGATCAGAAACAGCCAGCATGGATTCACCAAGGGAAGGTCATGCCTGACTAATCTAATCGCCTTTTATGATGAGATTACTGGTTCTGTGGATGAAGAGAAAGCAGTGGATGTATTGTTTCTTGACTTTAGCAAAGCTTTTGACACGGTCTCCCACAGTATTCTTGTCAGCAAGTTAAGGAAGTATGGGCTGGATGAATGCACTATAAGGTGGGTAGAAAGTTGGCTAGATTGTCGGGCTCAACGGGTAGTGATCAATGGCTCCATGTCTAGTTGGCAGCCGGTATCAAGTGGAGTGCCCCAAGGGTCGGTCCTGGGGCCGGTTTTGTTCAATATCTTCATAAATGATCTGGAGGATGGTGTGGATTGCACTCTCAGCAAATTTGCGGATGATACTAAACTGGGAGGAGTGGTAGATACGCTGGAGGGGAGGGATAGGATACAGAAGGACCTAGACAAATTGGAGGATTGGGCCAAAAGAAATCTGATGAGGTTCAATAAGGATAAGTGCAGGGTCCTGCACTTAGGACGGAAGAACCCAATGCACAGCTACAGACTAGGGACCGAATGGTTAGGCAGCAGTTCTGCGGACAAGGACCTAGGGGTGACAGTGGACGAGAAGCTGGATATGAGTCAGCAGTGTGCCCTTGTTGCCAAGGCCAATGGCATTTTGGGATGTATAAGTAGGGGCATAGCGAGCAGATCGAGGGACGTGATCGTTCCCCTCTATTCGACATTGGTGAGGCCTCATCTGGAGTACTGTGTCCAGTTTTGGGCCCCACACTTCAAGAAGGATGTGGATAAATTGGAGAGAGTCCAGCGAAGGGCAACAAAAATGATTAGGGGTCTGGAACACATGAGTTATGAGGAGAGGCTGAGGGAGCTGGGATTGTTTAGCCTGCAGAAGAGAAGAATGAGGGGGGATTTGATAGCTGCTTTCAACTACCTGAAAGGGGGTTCCAAAGAGGATGGCTCTAGACTGTTCTCAATGGTAGCAGATGACAGAACGAGGAGTAATGGTCTCAAGCTGCAGTGGGGGAGGTTTAGATTGGATATTAGGAAAAACTTGTTCACTAAGAGGGTGGTGAAACACTGGAATGCGCTACCTAGGGAGGTGGTAGAATCTCCTTCCTTAGAGGTTTTTAAGGTCAGGCTTGACAAAGCCCTGGCTGGGATGATTTAACTGGGAATTGGTCCTGCTTCGAGCAGGGGGTTGGACTAGATGACCTTCTGGGGTCCCTTCCAACCCTTATATTCTATGATTCTATGGTTGCAAAAATTTTCAGTGCTACCATTTGGATGCCATGGCAAAATTTACAGTACCTGCAGTTTTTGGAATTCTTCTCTCTCTTGTCTTGCTTCTTCTAATCCTTGCTGTCTGTCTTCTTCATTCTGGAGCTGCTGAGCCAGTTCCAGATCACTTAAATTTCCACCTACATTTATATCTACTAGTATCATTTTAAAAGAAAAGAAGATGTATGCACGTTTCAATAGGTTGACATAAAATATATATCTACCTATAGCAATGTGTTTGCATACACACAGCTGGGTAGAGGATGAAATGGTGAATGCTAAGGTTAAAATGTTTGCTTTCTGTATTGTAGCCAGACAGCCAGCCCCCCTCCCCCACTCCCCCTCAGACCAGCATTGCTGGAAACACAGGAGGAAGCCGGAACAGGGCACTTAACATATATTCCAGCACAGCCTTTGAAGCTGTGAAAGCACAGGTGTGCTGCTACAATGTGCCTCTGGGAACAGATACAACGATTAAGCTCACAGCAGGCAGAGGCCCTGTGACAGACATGGCTCTTAGCCCCTACTAAATAGCGTGATGCACACACACCAACATCCTAGGTGGGAAAATATTTACCCTGATAAAAGAAATGTCCAGTAGTCAAAACTTATTGTTTCTCTTCTTTGCAAGTGTAAACTACTCTTGCGAAAGCTGGCGTCACCCCGACAGACCAGCCTCAATTTGGCATAAGAAAGGAGAAAGAGAATAAAGGAGTACAGAGGTATAAGTAGGGGACCTACAGCACCATGATTTTTGAGTGCTTTTCACTATCTATCTGCTGGTCAGATAAGTGACAGCCTCCCAAGGCTTCTGCAGCTAAGAGGGTCCCTACGCCTTGTCCCTTATTCGTCTTTCCGCGGAACTGAGTGACCGATCCTGGCTTGGCACCGCTGGAATCGAGAGATGCAAGGAGGGTAAGAAGCACCCACACCTGATCTCCTACCTTTAGTGTACACATATTTTGAAATAGAGCTCTATACTTTGTTTTCTTTCTTTGGGATTGTGGCTTCAGTTTTGTAACTTGTTTGTGTGTGTAACATCTCTACATTTAAATAAGTAGGCACTAGCAATTTTGTAACCACATGATTAGAATCTAGCTTAATAAATTTTGGTATCCATTTATGCATAAGCCTGACTTGTTTTCTCTGGTTTACTGTAAAGCAGCCAACACAATTAAAGAACCTCAGCCGTTTTGGCTCTAAAGCCTGGCCATTAGGTGAGAGTACTAAGAGCCTAGCGTTGAGTTGTGCCACCTCCACGGGGCAAACTCTTGGGGCACCTGTCAGTCAATCCTGGCTGCCCGCTGCGAAGGAGCTCTGAGCTCTAGCAGTTAAAGTCACGGGTGTGGAGAGGCTCTTAGTGCTGCCATTGAGGCACCTGTCAGTCAGTATTGACTGCCCGCTGCGAAGGAGCTCTGAGCTCTAGCAGTTAAAGTCACGGGTGGTTAGGACCTTGGGGCATCCGTCAGCCTAGCCCAGGCTGCCCGCCGCGAAGGGACAGTGCGTCCTAGCGGTTAAAGTCACGGATGGTATAAACGGGCATAGCTGGCACCTCACCAAACATCCTTGGCCGTCGGCTAACATGTATACTGACAACAAAAGAATTAAAGCAGATGTTAGGCTGTGTGTAGAGTTCAATTTTGAGGACCTGGATGGGTATGCCCTGGACAGCTGTATATTGAACTGTAAGGGACTCTTGTGAAGCTAAGGCATCTGTGGATTTGGGTTATGTCTGGACGACAAAGCATGTGAACTGAATTTATCTGGAAGTTAACTAGTGTTTCCGTGTTTTTTAGTGATTGCATTGACAGGAAATACATTTGAGTGAACTTAACTGTAGGATAAGTCTTTTTGGGAAGGAATTTCCCTATTTTACTAAGTTGTTAACAAAAAAAAAATTGAACAGAATTGGTGTAGGTGTGATCTAATACTACGGAGCATTTTGGGCACTGTTACCTGACAAGCAGCACTGGTAAATGCTACCAAGGAGGCATCTTCTGTGTCTGAAAAGAATCTCCTTTAGTTTGCTTGAGAGGAGCCCCAGTCTGTTGGACCATACTAGTTCCAAAAGAGCAGGACTCCCACAGACAAACTTTATCAGATCCATGACAGGTTGGGTGGCATGGACTGAAAGTGAGACACAAGAAACCTGAGGTCAGGGACTGAATGGGAATCTGTTAGAAGGGTACAGAGCTAGGGAACCAGAGAGGCCCATATAAAAGGACACAAATAACTGGTCAACCAGCACCAGCATCTACTCTTGGCAGAAAAGAACTGTGACTTTACCATAGGAAACCTACGTATGTGAAATTTAGAGTGTGTGCGTGTGTGTATTTGGACTGATATGTTCTAGGAAGCTGGAAAAAACATGAGGTAAGCAGGGCTAGTTTTTTAAAGTGTCTCATTATAAATGCTTTAATTTTACCTAATATGTACACTACATCTACTTAGTGGTTTCATAAAAAGATAAATTGTGATGGTTTGCAGTAATTGTAATTTGTGAAAGTGACCTGTAAAAGGGAATTACAGGGTTTTACCTCTCACTTACTGACTCAAGTTTAATGTAAGCTTAAGTACAGAGTTAATAGTGACATCTGCCTAATAAAGTTAAGTACTAATTTTTCTTTCACAAACCTAGACAAATGCTTGAAAAATTCATAGTATCTTTTTCTTGATTTGTTTTGGTACCGATACATAAATATAAAAGAAACACACTAATTTAAAATACTTTTGATCAATACCAAGTTTTGATCTTTTCATGTACCTTCTGAAAAGCGGTGCTCTTCTAAGTGCAAGTCAACATGTTCCTGGAGAATCTGACAGTTTGCACAGACAAGATCACACATTGGACATTCATATAGCTGTTGACCATTTCCTGTATTTAAAAGAAGAACTGATTTAAATGTGATGGACAATGCTATTATTCGGTATTTCATATGAGAAAAAAAGCAGTTGACAGTATATATTCTGAGAGGGGTGTTCAAGCTGACAACAGTGGTTAATTTTGTATTGACAACAAAAGAATTTCCTACTGGATAACCCAATGAACTGTACAGAGTAATTATACTCTTAAAACGGATTTATATATAGCTTGTATGTTAAGAAAATTAAACTCTTCCCACTTAAGCTATGACAAGTCTGTTGGTGGAGGGATTCTCTTTTTTTCTATCAAATAACTGTTCATCAAGTATAATATCCTGCCCCATTTAACTTAATGATCAGAACTTGTTACCAATTCTTCACTTCAGAGAGCAGATGTTTAGCTTGAAACATACACCCAAAAGCAAAAGAAAGAAATGCCTACTGTCAAGAGACGAACCCATGTTTCCGAAAGAACAGGTGTCCAGCCCTCACAGTTGTGAAACCAACATTCAAAGGAAAAACAATCAGTTGGTAATTTTTCTGCTTTATTATATATAAAAGAGGTGGGAAGTTTGTCCTACCGCCACCCAAAAGAGATTTTTCCTGCTTAATTTTTTTTAAGCTTAGAAATATAAAATATATTAAGTCTGTCTACTGTTTTTGCTAAAGGTTTCCTTGGAGGACCAGAAGACTGGAATGGGGAATTGCTTATTCCATTTTCATCACAGTATCCTGTCTATGTATCTTTAACAAAGACCTTTTCTTATCACTTTTTTTTATTTTAATGTGTTGTTAAAACCAAAAATAGTTTTACAGAGTGACAAAAATTCACTTTCCTTTCTCAATTACTCAATTTCGTTTCTTGGGACATACACAATGTATATGAGGATTAACAAATGGAGCATTGCTGTTGCAGGAAAATGGCGATGAGTGATGCTCACCATGAGTAAAAATTAATAATGATTAGAGTTAAGGCCTCTTATGGTCCATGGACCTACATTCAGCAACAAAATTCTGCATGGGCTGTGTGTGTGTAAAATTAATTGAATATGTAATTATTTTATGCACAATCAGCATAGTAGCCCCTCCACATTCTATTTTTATTAAATTCTAGCATTTAATGCTGTCATTATGTTTTCATTTTTTTTTCTATGCCACAAATTTTTGTAGTAATGGTACAAAATGGTACTGTAGAATTTGTCAGGAGTGAAGCTGCAGGTTTTGACAGTTTAGAAGGGGCTGTTAACACTTGTGGAAGCATGGAATACAGTTCGGGACTGTGAGATATGCACATTAGAGGAATGTTTCTGCTGGAATGATCTGCAATGTAATAGTTAATGTTGAAATTTGAATAGTCATCTTCAGGTGTGAGAAAGACACTAAGATAGATGGGACAGTTCATGTCTTTCAGAAGTAGCATTTTGGCTACCTGAACATTCAGGCAGTCAAGAGAGCATTGATTTACACTCAGTTCATTTTTCAAGGCAATCTGTGCTTCTATAAAGGCTAAAAATAACTTAGAAAAAGGGACAAAAATGAAAGCTGGATTCTAAAGCTCATATCTACATCAAGGGATGGATTATATGACAAATCCTGCAGCCATGAAATAACTGGCTACATAAGATCTTGAAATGCTTACAGCTCCCACTGCTCACTATACTCTCAAACATCAGTTTGAAATATACACAGTTGGAGCTATTGACTGGACATTGGAACATATGTAAAATGTGACTTTATAACACATCAACATCTCACTGTTCCATTAGGACAGAATTCTAACACTGAAGACAATAATGTATTGTAGTCACTCTAGACACTCTTAAAAGAATCATTTCCTGGCTGAGATGTGGGGACTAAACATATTTGAAGCTACAAGAACCTGAATATTGGTGTTCAGAATAGAACTCCATATCAACTTTTAACTACAGCATAAAACTTTGACTACACTGAAATTAAGACTTGGGTTCCTAGATGCTCATTGTCTTCTCCACCTTTGTCCCTCTTCTTTCCCAGGCTCATGCTGGGCACTGCATCCACTTCAGCTTCTATGGCTTTCTGAACTCTCTTCCTCAAGCTGAATGCCTTTTTCCTTCTCACACACTAAGTGTGCACAAATAGCTTGATAGTTTCCAGTCAAATATGTCACTTGACTCTGTCAACCTCTCGATTTTTTTTGGTCATTAGTTTATACATCAAATAGAGAGGTAATTGAATCTGTCACACACACAAAAATCCTTATCCTTTGTTACCACTATTATGTATACCATATTTTTGTATGGCTAAACAGTACCGTAACCCCAGTAAGTGTTGTACTTAGTATTCGGATACATACACACCACCCAGGGCCCTCGAACAGTCACGCCCAGGCGAAGCTTTAGGCACCACGGTGCCTTCAGCCATAGTTAAGCAGATGCAAGAGCACTGGGCAGGGGAGCCTGTCTTGCCTGAACTGACTAATTGCTAAACGCTGGTCTACGCTTGGGGCGGAGTGTAGGTGCATGTAGCTGCACCCGGCACGGAAAGGCAGGCTACGTCCACACTTGCCCGAGCCGCAGGGAAAAGGCTTAAGACAGGGGGGCCCGACTCGGCGAAAGAGCAGCCGTGCGGGCGGCACAGCTCGGGCGCGTAGCGAGCCGTGTGTGCAGGAGGGCTCAGGTGTTTGGGGCTCTCCGCCCCCGCTGGCTGCTCACAGGCGTGCTGGGGCGTGCGGAGCCGGGCTCGGTGCAGATCTACCCGAGAGGAGACACGGCGGAGCCGCGGGAGCCGCACTCACCCGGGGCCGGCGGGTCCAGGAGGTGGCCGTGCCGGGACCTCAAGTGCGCCTCCACCTGGCGGCCCGAGGCGCCGGTCTCCCCGCAGAAGGGGCACTGGGGCCGGCCGCCCGCGGGGGCAGGGCCCGGCTCGGGGTGCGCGCTGTCCACGTGACCGCGGAGCTCGTCGTAGCCGGGCGCGGAGAACGGGCAGAGCGGGCAACGGGGCTCGCGCTCCTGGTGCGCGCGCAGCTGGTGGCGCCGCATCTCCGGCTCCGTGCGCAGCGCCTGGCCGCACAGCTCGCCCAGCCGCCTGGCGCGGGCAGGCCAGGGACCGGATCAGCAACTCCCCCCCGGGCCGGCTGCCGTTGGTATCCGCTTCCCCTCTTCACCCGGGGGTTTCCTTTCCGCTTCAGCGTCAAGGTAAGCGCTGTCGTCATGACATCACTAGAACCATCGCCCAACCCCAGAACTTCCGGTTTGGAAGGGTCAATTTGTTTTTTCCCCTCCCGCCTGCTACCAAGGCCCGCCCCTCTCACCGGGCGCCTGCCTGCCCCTCCCCTCGAGGAGCATGATGGGATTTGTAGTGTTTTTGAGGCGCCGCCGGCTCGTCATTGACTCAACCTCGCTTAAGCTCGGCGCGCAAGGCTTGCTGGGGAGGAGGGACTCGGCAGCGGGGCTGAGGCCGCCATTTTGAATTGCGAACCTCTGCGGGCGCTGCTCCGCGCTCCGGCGAAGCGGAGCGGAGCGGGCCTTTCTGAGGCAGCGGGAACCACCGCCGCCGCCTCGATGGGTGAGAGGACGATGGGGGAGCGGGGTGTTTCGCCCGCCCCGGCCCGGGGCCAGTCACGGAGCTCGGTGGCGTCTGTCACCTTCCCCCGGGCGGCGGATCGGGCCCTTCCCATCGTTTCCCGGGCAGCGCCCCGGCGCTGGGACCGGCAGCGTCACGCCCCCGCGGGGCTCTCGCCCTTCTTTGGCCGTCGAGGGCGCTCAGCAGAGCAAGAGCTGGCGTCCCCGGCAGGCCCTAGCAGCTGGGTCTCGGGCAGGTGACACGAGGGCGACCCGGGCCGGGGAAGTGGCTGGGCAGCCGGTGCGGCCCCGCATTGGTCGTAGCTGCTTGTTGCTTGGGCCGGCCGGCACCTGAGACCCGGCCCTGAGCCGGAGCGTGGTCTCTTCCACCTCCCCCCTAGCCCCCGCGTTTGGATGGTCCCTCATCCCAGGTCAGATATGGGGCTTCAGTTCCGGAATGATAAACCCTTTCTAGGCCTGTTTGCAATATTGTCTGTTCCTCAATCAAGGGGCTTTGCAAGCCTAAGGAATGTAACATCACTGCCCCTTCTTATTTCAGTTATATGGCCTCTTTGCTGCCTGCTTTCTCGAGTCACTTTCCCTCACCAGAGGGTTTGGGTGGACTTCATATGGTTTGGGTTAGAAGCTATATTTCTGAAACGTCTCCAGTCAAACCCATATAATGCCACAAACGTACAGGACTGAGATGGGGAAATCATGGGATAACTGTATGCCTAGAAACCCCATTCTGTGTGTCATTTTGCCAGGAGCTGTACAGCCAAATAGCAAAGATGATAGTGTCTGTCTCAAAGATCTATGCAGTGTTGTTAGAGCTGTGTTGTCTCCAGGATATTGGAGAGTCAAGGTGTGTGAGGTAATATCTTTTATTGGACCAACTTCTGTTGAACATATTGAATCTATTTCCACCTTAAGTATCCTCATACCTTATTGTCAACTGTCTAAATGGGCCATCTTGATTATCACTACAAAAGTTTTTTTTTCTCTCCTGCTGATAATCGCTCATCTTAATTAATTAGCCTCTTACAGTTTGTATGGCAACTTCCACCTTCTCTGTATATATGCTCGAATAAATTTGTTAGTCTCTAAGGTACCACAAGTACTCCTGTTCTTTTTGAGCTGAAGAAGAGCTTTGTGTAGCTAGAAAGCTTGTCTCTTTCATCAGCAGAAGTTTGTCTAATAAAAGATGTTGCCTCACCCAATTTGTGTGTCTGTCTCAAAGAGTTTATTATCTAGGTGTCAGGATGCAACAGACAGACAAAACAGCCAGGTTGGTGGAGGGATGAAGTTACAAAACGAACAGAGTTCAGCAGAAAAATGGAAACTTGATAGTGGCCTGAATACATTAATTAGCAAAAGCCTGGGCAAAGAGGTTTTTACACCTCTTCTTGAGAAACTTGGGCTTTATTGTTGGTGGGAAGACGCAGCCTATGCCCCAAAGGTTCACAACCCATTAGAAGGCACTTATGTCTCTCAAAATACAGGTTTTTGGAAGGTAAAAATCCCATTGTTTGTTTGTTTTGTTTTATAGACATGATGGCGAGCCCAGGAAAAGATAATTATAGAATGAAAAGTTACAAGAACAATGCACTCAATCCTCAAGAAATGCGCAGACGGAGAGAAGAGGATGGAATCCAGCTTCGGAAACAAAAAAGAGAAGAACAAGTAGGTTTCTAACAATTAAATGTAATAAGCATGGTTGTCAATTGAGAGCTTTCCATTCATAAAGATTTATTTCTATATAATAATCATATAAACAGGCTGATTTTTTCAGTAACAGTAGTTTGGTTTCTAGAAGAAAATCAAGGCAGTAGCAGACATTTTGTTTACGTGTAAAAAATTAGGAGCAGTCTGCTAAAGCATAAATATTACAGTTGAGGGTGGTGTATCTCCAATATATAAACAGATACAGGAAGCTAATAGTAAAGTAGCTAGGTATAGGTAGGTATACTAGGTATATTCAGGTGGCGATGGTTAATATTTATATTATGGTAGTGACCTGTTGTGATGTCAGTTTGGAAATGAATTTTTTTCTTAAAGTTTCTCAGTGAAGTGTATTAAAATAATGTATATGAATTTTGGTCAGTTAATTTGTAATTAAAAAGTAATGGCCAAAAAGAGTACATCCATAGCTACCTGAAATGTGTGAACTCTAAATAGTGCAGGAAAACTAACACAGCTAATCAAAGAAATGGGTAGATATAAAATTGACATCCTAGGACTTTGTGAAGTTAGATGGAAAGATCAAGGTATGATAACATCTGGAGAAAAAACAATGTTATATTCCAGTGGAACCAAACATGAGAGAGGTGTAGAAATCATCATGAATAGTGCTGCAAAGAAATCACTTATGAATTGGCAGCTAATATCAAATAAGCTACTGGCAGCTAGATTCCACTTTCAGCACATTAAGGGCACCATAATTCAGGCATATGCTCCAGCAAACGATGTAGATGAAGAGGACAAAGAGAGATTCTATACAAAATTGAACGATGTAATGAAAGAAATACCTAACAACAATCTTGTCCTGGTTATGGGAGATTTTAATTCCCAGATCTTTGAAATGAAAGAAGAGGTTGGGAAACAGTCGTCAGCCCACATACACCTGGAACAACGACAGACAATGGCACAAGACTTCTTGAATTTTGTGCTGAAAACAATCTTAGCATCTGCAATTTTTTCTTCCAGCATAAAAACATACACAAAAAGACATGGATTTCACCAGATAGCCATATACAAAATGAGATTTACGATATCTGTGTTAGTCAGAGGTGGAAGACATCAGTGTTAGACACAAGTATTCGGAGGAGCCGATATAGGGAGCGATCAGTATTCACTGAAAGCAAACATCAAATTGAAGTTTAAAGTGCTTAAAAAGAAAGAACACAGACTGAGATTATTCAATACACAGAAACTACAAGATTGCAGAATACGAAAAGAGTACCAGATAGAGGTCAAGAATAGGTTTGAGGCCCTTAAAGATCTTGAAGAAAATAAAGTGGAAAAATACTGGGATCTTTTCAAAACAGCTATGCTAGAAGAAGCTGAAAAGATAAGAAAGAGAGGAAGCAATAAAGAAGAGTGGATCTCAGAAGAAACATGGAAAATTATAGACAAAAGAAGAAAACAAGACTCTAGTACTACAACATGTGACTGAAGAAACCAAACAAACCTACAGGAACCTTGACAAAGCAGTAAAGAAACAATGCAAAAAATATAAGTAAAATTGGATAGAAAGTAAGGCTAGTGAAGCTGAAGAAGCATGGGAAAGAAACCATACAAGAACAGTCTACGTGATCTGAATTTTGATCCATATCCTGTTAACGGTTTCAAGAAGTGTCCCAGTGAAAGGGAAACAAGGAGAAATTTTGAAAACACAGGAGGAACAAGAAAATAGATGGGTGGAACACTTCAAAGAAGTGCTAAACCAACCAGAACCAATTATAAGACTGGAATTTAACAATGATAAACCGTTAGACCTAGATATAGATGTATCTGAGGTAAAAATCGAAGAAGTAAAAAAAGCATTGCGGAAGCTGAAAAACAGCAAGGCACCTGGTTGACGGCATTCTTCCTGAATTGCTTAAGTATGGAAGCGAAGACGTGGAATCAGTCATCTGCTCTTATCCCCATACATATTTTTAAATGTTTTTTTCTAATTTAATAAACAAGAAACTTCCAAGGTGAAGCCTCAAAGGCACATTGGCTCTTTCTGGATTACAAATACTGCAGGGGTGTTTGGATTTTTCCTTTTAAATTCCTAAAACTTTATTTTAAGAGCCCCAGTTTCATGGGTGATTGGGGAGAAGAAGGGAGTCAGTATATAGTCATTGTTAAAATTCAGGTATTTTTGAAAATTGAGACATTACTATCACTCATCCTAATGTATATGCCTTACTGTTTCATATGATCCACGTTTTCTGTGAAGTTTTCTGAGAATTGTTGAGAGGTTCTGATGACTGCTTTTGGAAACGTCTTCTTTTCTTCAAACTTACAAAAAAAAAATCTGTAGCAGTTCATACCTCTATATGCTTTGTATATCTATCCCATATATTAAAAAAAAAAAACACAAAACAGTGTAAAATTTGACACATTTTTCTTTGTTTAGTTATTTAAGCGCAGAAATGTTTCTCTCCTGGGAAATGAAGAGTCTATGGTAGAAAGCCCCATCCAGGATCCTGATGTCAGCTCTACTGTACCTATTCCAGAAGTAAGTACTACATAAATACAATTAAAGTATTTTTAAAAATGTGCTTAAAACTGCAAACAAGATGCCATTTGTACATTTTTAGGAAGAAGTTATTACAGCAGATATGGTGCAGATGATTTTCTCAGATGATCCTGATCAACAGCTCACAGCAACACAAAAATTTAGAAAACTGCTTTCTAAAGGTAAATCAGCATTTTACTTTTTTTATGGTACTTGCTTTGTGTTCGTATAACAAGTATTAGTCACATTGAATTTATATGTCTTAAATTTGCAACTTTAAAAAAAAACAAACAGATCTTG